TTTTTAACGATTTGCACTCAGGTAGGAGATTTAAAAAGGCTTTCGCAATTTTGATGTCTGAACTCTGAACGTCAAGTAAAAAATATAGCTTCGTAATTCGACGGCTATGAAAGATCTGAAAACAGAAATGATATATTTTACTAACATTTAATTTGTTTACCTACAACATATTTCTATTAATATTTGTTTATCCATTATATTATACACTGATTTGCATCTATGTAGTTGAGCCAAAACAGGTCTAACCAGATCAATGTGTCTATATATAGCCCATCTTTTGATGAAGAATCATACGAGATATATTAGATCAAAGTATTTAAAGATGCAATAGGAACAAAAATATATATCTGAAGGAGCAAGGTCTGAGGGTAACTTGCCTAAATTCACTCACACCTCAAATTGAGGCATCATCATGGCCTTAGTAGCTGACACTAAAATTAATTATCTGTACTAATTTTGTCAACAGGGTGTATTATACATACAGTTAATCTCTGACATATCTATTTTTTTGCAGGGATAACATAGGGTTGGTGGATCAAGTGGAGGCATGTTTTGCAAAATTCTGGAGAATTGAATTGTTGAACAACAATACTATTATACACATGAACTAAACACATGAACTAAACTTAAATACAGAAACTGTTTTATTATTAGGCCGTATTCTCTGGCACGAAAAGTCGCTTAGAAAACGATTTTCGTTGCCTCCCTTCGGGCACTACTTGAAAACACGATAGAAAATTAGGATAAATTATAGAAAGTCTAAATTCACTTGTTTTCACCTGCACAAACCTGCAGTTTTCGAGCATTTCATCTTCGAAAAATCAGTGAATTTGCATGTTTTGCAATACAGCGACGCCATTTTGATTCAGGAAATGTCTAGGATACTTGGTGTAATTTACGACATATATAGCAGATTCAGCAGTTTTATACCGGTATTTACATGAAGCTCCGGCATTTTTGCTGTGCAAGCAGGTTTCAACAAGGAAGCTTTCAGTGGAGTTTTACGAGGTTTTTCGCAAATTTTCATAGTTTTTCAAAACTAAATTAGTCAGAGAAGAGTTAGACAACAATTAATCGGAAAAAATCCGCAAATTTGCGATTTTTTTAAAGCATTCTGCTCTTGATATTTACAAATAAATAAGAACAACTTTATTTACACGCATTAAATCATCCACGAGCGTTTTGTTTCTAGCCAATTTATATAAAATAATTACTATACAATTCTTTTTCAGCATACCCTTTAATTTATATTAACTACTTTTATAATACACACGTTTTCTCAACAAAACTATTTACAACATCTCAGTTTTTTGACAAAGTTAATTACCAACGCCAACATCTATTTAAACGTGATTTGCAACGTACAACTACTGTACATGTTAAAATATTGAACACGCATACCAAGGTTGATATCAGCCATACGTTTTAATACCATTGTGGGAGAATTACGAGCGCCTTATAATTTTAAAACACAAATAAAATGTTGAACTCAACCCTTTTAATCGGACAGCTAATACCACAACTCATGATCGACGTCATCTCCGAAATCCAGATTAGATCCTGATCCTTCAAGTTCATCATCGTCATCAGATTGAGCCAGGCCATAACTGCTATCATCGTCGTTACCATCTTCAACTACTGCATTCTGGCAATCACCACACGAACATAGGTCGGTGCACTTTAAGTCAGCCTTTTTGCAGAAGCAACGCATGGTCGAGCATCTAGAATCTTGCACTTGCACTCAACACACTCAATTAAAGATCGCGGAGCGGGTGGGCGTGTCATCCAAGTTATCTCCAGCTCTTTATCGTCAAGCGTCCAGCCATTGCCAACCAGTGATGGAAGATCGACTTCTGCACTTAAACACTGATACCATGATGCTGCTTGATTGCTAATGCCATTACCAGTAAAAGCATGAAAGCCTGGTAAACAAAGAGCAACATCCACGCCCAAGAATTTCGAGATAATTGCTACAAATACGCAACGATGTCTATCTCCCGTGCCAGTCAGAAAGAAAATCTCTTTCTGCATCTGTTGTTGCATGCCAATCGCAGGTATAAGAACATCTGTATCAGGGCTTTTGATAATAACTTTATCGTACGTTGCTGCTGCGTGGTGGCATGTAGAATTAAACGAGTGTCTGCTTCTTCGTGGTGCTATGAAGCGAAGACACCTCATTACTTGTAACAATATCGTTCGGGGAATCACCGGGATATAAAACATAGCATATTTCTTTAGCAGTTACGTACATAGTTGAAATGGAAAACCACCGGGAGGAGTTACATGACCTCCAGTGTTCACATAAGAAAGATATGAAAGATTCCTTGTTTCCACCGGATCTTATACACTTTTTCCACTGTTTTGGAACACTCTGATCTTTTCCGAAGATTTGACCTTTCTGGACTCCATTTTCACTTTTCAGCTCTTCGTTGTCTCTCTGCATTGTCTTATGCTCAACTAAGGATACCTGTCTGCAACAATCTAATCGTTGGAATTATACTTTCGTGCTAGCGTGTTAAGGTTTTTAAAAGAGCATCATCGCCAAATGTTTTCCGTTTTCTTTCATCAACTGAATAACTGCCATAGCATCTACAATCAGTGCATTGTTGTTAAATGCACAATCATTGACTTCTGGATTTCCAGATTCATTTCCAATACTTCAGCAAGTTTAGACTTGGGCTAACTTGGCAGTTGTCACAAGTCCTCACACGTTTTCATAAGCAAAAGTTTGAAATTTGTTCTGTTTCAACTTCGTTAAGATGTCTGGGTCTTCGCTCAACAAATTCGTTTTTTAGTGGATTGATTATAATAAGATAAAGGCGTTGGTAATTAACTTTGTCAAAAAACTGAGATGTTGTAAATTTATAGTTTCTTGAGAAAGCGTGTGTATTATAAAAGTAGTTAATATAAAACAAAGGTTATGCTGGAAAGGAATTGTGTAGTAATTGTTTTATATAACTTGACTAGAAACAAAACGCTCGTGGATGATTTTGATGCGTGTAAGCAAAATTGCGCGTTGTTTTTCAGATTAATTGTTGTCTAAGTCTTCTTTGACTAACTTAGTTTTGAAAAAACTATGAAAATTTGCGAAAAACCTCGTAAAACTCCATTCAAAGCTTCTTTGTTGAAACCTGCTTGCACAGCAAAATGCTGGAAACTAGGTATAAAACTAGTATACTGGTATAAAACTGCTGAATCTGCTATATATGTACCTATATTACACCAAGTATCTTAGACATTTCCTGAATCAAAATGGCGTCGCTGTATTGCAAAAACATGCAAATTCACTGATTTTTCGAAGAAAATGCTCGAAAACTGCAGGTTTGTGCAGGTGAAAAAAGTGAATTTAGACTTTCTATAATTTATCCTAATTTTCTATCGTGTTTCAAGTAGTGCCCGAAGGGGGGCAACGAAACTGAACGATAATCGGCCACAGAATACGGCCTATATTTTTACAAATTAAAAGAAAATAAATATTAAAATTGATAAGGCTTTGTTTATTTCTTTTCCGAAGAACCTTTCCAGTCATTGCAGGCTAATCTGGGAGAAGCTGGTAAGCCCTTTTGCATATAATCAATAATAATTACCATGAATATCTTGGCCTACAAACATCCCTGGTTCTAATCTTCCTTAATGCAGCCTGATCTGCATTATCATTTGCAAATATATAAAAGCATATGACCTGCACAGTGGCCATAATCACTGGTTTTATACCATGGAAGGAGCATCACCTGTGCAGTCAGAAAATTATAGTGCTGACCACTGCATGGTGCTGACTGCTGGAAGTTTCAATTTAATAGTTTATCACTATAGGTTCAAGGTAATAAGCTCATCAATATACATATGATGATATAGTTCAGTACAGAAAAAACTATTTCTTCTGGCTAATGAAATCCAGCAAAACAAATAGGCAGGCTAATTTTGGTAGAAATTGCACATCCTCATCCTCCCAATGATTCTTTAATAGCCTCTGTTTTCTTTACATCTTTTTACCTTTTAGCGTTCTTTGGGAGAAAATGCCTGAAATATGGATGTAATATGTAAATAAATGACTTCCCAGAATAGGGTAATCTTTTTAGAAAAGTGTTTAGGTTGTTCAAACTATACATATCACATCTCGTGCTGCCGTTTTTTGGTCAAATATAAAAATATATAAACAACGACATCTATCTAAAGACTGTTCACGAGAAAATTGTGAAATTTTATCTAAAAAAATAAAATTTATGAATAACATATTTACCTGTCAGTCAACTGCATTTTCATTTGGCAAATTTCTCGAAGTTTTATTTCTTATTAGTTTTGTTTTGACAGAAGTAACGTGTACGAACGACTTCGACATCCTCACATCCTCACAAAAACGTCGAACATATTTGATCAAAAAGTTTTCAGTTCAAAAATATTGACAGACGTTTGAATTTTGTTCGGAAAATATAATAATGAAAAATAATATTATTTTTAACAAAAACCAGGGGGGAGTGCATTTGTAGCGGGTTCAGAATTGAGCCTTGGTCAGTGGTAACTACCATGGCGAATAGGAACCGGTGGCATCAATCTGGCATCAGCAAACGCTGAAATACGCCATGTTTTTTGCTTCACTTTTTGGTTGCAGGTAAGTTCCCCAGGAATTATAGTCATTCACTGATTATAGTATAGCTCAGTGTCCATGACATAGAATTTGGGCAACTTTGGATTCCACTATGTCACACTTGAGTGTTTATACTTTCCATCTTATACAGGCACTTGCCGAGCATGCGCAGTACAAAAAAGTGGGTACACCAGTCTATGTTCTGTCACAATACCCGGGTGTAATTAATCTCCTAGGGGAATTAGTACCCTCGCAGGGCTCTCCGTGCCAGGGGTACCTAAAAGGGTACTGTATTAAGCTCTTTTCATCAAGTCTGTTTACCAGGTATGTATATCTACTCTCATAGTTGCAATTATCATCTCACTTTGTGTTCAACAGATTTTACTACAATAGAATATTAAATAATGTCAATTACCTTCCAGAAACCAACTGTACAATTCATCACCATTCATTTGATGTGCTTTCTCAGTGGTCAAGCCACTTGAGAAAACATGAATTAAAATTGTGCCATCATCATTTTCTTCAAGTTCAAATGTCTGGTATCCAAACCCATGCCTATTCATATCCTCTGCCATAAATGTCTGTAGAAGCCTTGCATTAAAGCTAAGCTTTTTCAAAGCAATTTCAATGCTGTTATTTTTATTTTCAGGTGCATCAAATGATCCATCGCTGTCTGAGCATTTGATGTAAACAACACGAACAAACCTGAAACAAATGTTTAAAAAAACTAGTTTGGATGTGTTTTTTAGGGGTTTAATTACATTACAATTAGGGTGTTGGTATCCAATATCCCAAAATATTATTTGCACACAATATGAATACTGCATATAGACATTCTTTTTGATGACTGCCAGGGGTCATTCTAAGGACAGTGTGAGGGGGGTATACCAAAAGTCTGGAGTAGCAGGAGCCTTAATAGCCCTAATTTTATACATTTATATGCATGGCCATGATTCTTCAATGTCAAGCCAAATTACCTGAGATTAAAAGGAAGTACAGACTAAAATATTAATAAGGAGCAGATCTACATGCAAGTTGAATTATCACTAGCAGATTATTACATAAGAACACGATAACATGCGCATGCACCTTGGTTGATTCATTTGCTTTTCATAACAAATTTGCAAATCTCTCTCCACTGCTAACTCATCACACCGCACTTTCACCAGATTGACTCCTCTATCCAATTTTAAAAATGCTTTAAACATTTTGTCCACCAAAGGCCATCCATGACATTTCCCATTGTGATACACCAGCACTTCGCTTGCTTTGGTAATTGGCAAATCTTTACCATTTTGCTTAGTTTGTTGCTGTTTTATTAATTCGGGCTTAGGTTCGTTTGTTAAGCTTTCACTTGTTAATCCAATTGAATATGGTTTAATTTCCCCTTGCAATAAAAAAAGAGCGTG